TTGGAGAACCCCTCGTTTCGAATATGACTAATTACCATCCACATTACACACTAGTGCAAACCTCCTCCATTTCGATAATAATTTGATATATTCCCCTCGGCTACCCTAAAGTACCTAAAATACCCTTTTAAAATCAGTTTTAAATCATAGTCACTCACAGTCGTCTCTGTCTTCCTCTCTCAACTCGCAGATTTAAATCCCAGCCCCATAGATCTCCAACCGGCAAAGTTGTTTCCCGGATTCATAACTCTCTCTCCGGTGGTCGGAATTCAATGGTTTAACTGCGCGTTGGATTCCTCTCGTCGAGCTCTTTCTTTTGGTGGTAATTTCATTCAGTTTGGAGCACTCAATCTGTTTCTACAATTGGTTTACAGTCCGTGCGTATTTCTGTTAGAGTAGGTGACCAACAAGCCAACCTGTGGATGTGGTCTTTCCATTTATTATTGTAATAAATAAACCTTTTTCGTATTAATGATAAAACACCTTGATATTGTATATCTTTGTCCCTTTGTCACAAGCATAGATATAGTCCTTACAGTTATTACAAGTACGAGTAATTGATCGTTAGGATTGTGAGATATTGACTTTAGTATTATAACTGTTAAATGTGTTCCTAGTCGAAGGGTTACGCCACCAATGAGGATATCGGCATTTTCCATTAAGAGACTAGCACTTAGTGTATGTGTACTGCATCTCATCAGTAAATGGTATTGTGATATCGGCATGCATAAGTGGGTGCTCGTAAGTTGACGAGTTCACTGAACTCGCTCACCCTAGAAATCTCTAAATGGTTCTCAATAATCGAGTAGAGATATCTATGGTATAGTTGTACACCATTAGTCCTTATGACCTAGACATCACCGTGATTTCACTAGAGGACCAGCTGTATCGTGACCTGTGCCTGAGTTCCACCAAGGACCACCCTAAGGGCCAGTGTTCGCGCAGTCTGAAATCTAGTGGGAGGTCTGTGCATTGTAGTCGGGGATTCGATCGCTAGAATAGTCTTGGATGTCCTGTGTGTTCTCATAGTTTGTAATCTCTAAGTCTTTGGCCAAAGCTGAATAAGTGATGATTAGAGAATTTGATTCTCTAAGTCATGCACGTAACGATTACAACACTTAGAACGATCGCACGGTCATTGAACTAGTAAGGAGGTCTCGATGAACCAATGCCTCTAGTTCAATCGGGACATATGAATCGAAGGGATCGTACTGTACGCTAACTATATCAAAAGGTTCTTGCAGGCACTTCGTTTTATTCTAACTACTTCGTGTCTAGTGCCACGTTTTAGTAGATCGAAGTATACGAGGTGAAATTTGAGAGGAGGAAGATCGAAGATCGAAGAATCGAGGAGCAGTCCCCGAGCCGACGACGCACGCGCCTCCACGCGTCGCCCGAAGACAGCGCGTGAGCCACACGCACCGCCGTAGCTCACACCGCCGCTGCTGCCGTTTCGCCGTTGCTGCCCCGGATTGCACGGATTGGTTTCCGTGGCAATCTAGCTTCGTTTCGTGCGCCTACCTCACGCTTCAAGAGGTAAAGTTTCAAATTCGTTGTCGTTCGATTCGGTTTTATTTACATTAAATATGCATGTTCGTTTAGTAACTATGTTGTATGATTTTATGTGAGTACATGAAATTGTTTATTTACTGCGAGCATGATTATTTGATTTAACGCGAGCATGCTAGTTGATTTAATTCGATTGAATAATTCGCATGTATGTTGTTTTTAATTTCGCTGGAAGCGCAAAGGTACGCAATTAATTGTTTTCAATTATCGGGCATGTGTTTATGTGTTTTAAATTCGTTTATTTCGCATAAAATTTTTGTTTTCCGCTGCGTACACGTGTCCGATTCCCAACAATTTCAACGACGGTGAGTCTTGCCGGAGGAGTAATTTGTGACCCAGCAGGCAGAATTTGACGGGCTACCCACCGTTGGATTCCTCTCATCGAGATCTATCTTTTGATCGTAATTTCCTTCATTTTTTATTGTCAGATTTATTTCTATAATTTTTTTTTCATTCGTGAGTGTGGAACCTTGGGTGGTTAGCGACGGCTAGGGTTTTGGTAGGAGGTGCTTGGGGTGAGGAGTCATTGGCGGGTTGGTCTAAAACTCGTAGCATTTCGCAGTATGGTCTCTCTCTCTCTCTCTCTCTCTCTCTCTCTCTCTCTCTCTCTCTCTCTCTCTCTCTCTCTCTCTCTCTCTCCTAGTGTTTGTTGATTTGAGTGTTTTGATATTTCTTCATTTTTGTTGATTTGCACTAAAATAATATTTTTTTATTTTGATTTTGCTATAGCTATTGTAGCTTAAAGAAAGCCATTGATCTTCTATTGAAGGTGTCAAAACTTTTGGTTGAAGTTACATCTACTTTAAGTTACAGTGTTCAACAGACTATATACATTTCTATACACTGCTAGTTACATATAATAACATGTAGTTAGATATGCATATATATATATATATATATATATATATATATATATATATATATATATATATATATATATACTAGTCTCTGAGCACCGCGCAAGGCGCGGTGCCGGTGCCCAGCTAATTTGTTCGTAAGGTAAAAAAAATGATTCTTGTGGACTCTTAAAGATTTGTTTACCAATGCCCAGCAGCTAGTATCTTGTCCAAGTTTTTAGTGAGTCAGCCAGTTCAAATACCAATAACCCAATCCGAATAATCCAATCTGCATTATGTTGAAAACAAAACAAAAAATAGAAATAGCTAGTGAAATGAAAGTAAAAATATTTCAATATCCCATAGAGAGATGTCAAACCTTTGAAGTACAACTGGAAAATAAGAATAGATTGGCAGAGAGCATGATGCAAAAATAAGAGGAGAAGGAAGACCTTGGCAAGCACATTATCGATTGGGAAATTTCTTAGACCTCCTTGCTCCATTCTCTAGCAACATCGGTACTACAATATACAAATTGGCAAATTCACAAACAAATAATACAATCGAATCTTAGAGAAATAATAACAATATTGTAGCATTGTGACAAAAACTTGATGAAAATGTTCATCTTCAAAGCATGGTGGATTCTTGAAAGCGAAAAAATAAAATCGTAGAGATGCACACACAAGTTTCAGGTTATATATTTTGACAGCATATATTAATTAGAATGTGAAAATTCTAAGAATTCTGTAACTTGGCGCCCTTGAAGAAGCTACATTTTCAATACGGCATTTAGTCTTCGAACTAATAACATTCTGCACTTCATAATTAAGAGACTAATTTCAATCTGAAAACAAAGTGTCGAACCCCAAGTGAAATTACTCACAAGAAAATATAATTAGTACCATATCGTCATATAAAAGACATCTAATTGTTCTGTTTTCCTTGGAAAAGCTAGATCGAGAATAATTTCTGAGAACAATGACTTCGAGAGTAATGAAAAAAAGGGAAAATAAATTCCGTAGCAGCTGCAGTCGATTACCCTTGTGAATTTGCGACAACAGCCAGCAGGAGGACTACAGTGAACTTTCCCGTAGGTGGCAGAAACGGCGTCGTCGATGGCCGTCACCGCCGGAAGCGGCGAGCCCTGCTCCATTTGAGAGAGACGGCGGCGGATTCGTGGAGAGACAGGTGAGGGGAGATGTTGTCTGTACTTGGATAGGAGGGGTCGATTGAAGAGAAGAAGAAGGCAGAAGAAAAAAAATAAAGAAAAAAAAGAGCGGTCAGTAATTGTAGGCGAAGAAAGATGGCAGTGTTTGGGAGAACAAAAAGAAAAGCAAAAAGAAAATCGCAGCCGGCCCCACCACAATGGATGAAAAGGTTCGAGCTGCTTCAAATTAAAGGGAAAAGAAAATAATACAGCCTTGTCATTGGAGGGGATACCAAAACGACGCCGTTTTGGGATTAAATGTGCGAAAAAAAAAAGTGAAAAGAAAATTAAGCAGGACAAACCCGGGAGTTGTACATACATATAGTTAAAAAATAATATAATATATATATATATATATATATATATATATATATATATTTGTAAATTTTTGTTAAGCCAGTATTCGTTTGTGTAAATAATTGATCGACTAAAAATATGGGGTAAAAACTACATAACTACGAATGACTATAGTTTATTATAGTTACTTCGAGTAAACTGCAAAAAGTACCCCTGTGTAATCTCCAAATAGCAAAAACTCCCCTGTGAAATTTGATCAAAGGCAAAACCCCCACCCCCGGTTGACTTAAGTGTGGCTCACTCGCGGGTTGCGCGACTGGTAGTAGGTTTTTTGACGTGAAATGACGAAATTGTCCCTAAAAATGTATTTATATGTATATATATTATATGTATATATATTTTACTTTTTTTAATTTGATTGTTTAGAAATTAAAATATTGTTAAAAAATAGTAAATAAATAAATTTAAAAATTATTAAAAATTTGTTAATCAAATTAAGTATAGATTTTTTTAAATATATAATAACGGAATTTAAATTTTCTTTTGATGTAGCGATAATTTAAAATATATACAAAAACTATGAGATAATAAAAACAAAACTAAATTAAATACCCCATTGTACCTTTATAATTAAGATATGACAAAAATAAAATAATTAAAATATTTAAAAAATATAATAATTTATTAATTGCAAAATCCTGGAGGTATTTGTGTCTTTTTATATGAAGTCAACACTCAAATGATAAATGAGCCGAGTGTGCTATTTAAATAATTTCATAGGGGAGTTTTTACTAGTTTATTTATCATAGGAGGGTTTTCGCTATTTAGAGATTACGCAGGAGTACTTTTTGCAGTTTATTCTAGTTACATGAGTAAACATATAATTATAAAAAAAAAAAAAATCAAAGAAAAATTAAATAGGAAAATATAAATTAAACAAACAGGTTTAAAAGTAGTAATAATAAATAAATAAATTAGCGAAAATGTTAATTCAAGACCAGAAATGCTAAATGCAGTTTGAGCGAAAATTTCATATAAAGGTAGTATAGTACTTTCGCCTCCAGGAATATGCCAAATGAAGAATTCGGTTTGCGTTTCTCCCTAGTTTATTTGGTAAGGGCTATAAAAGAAGTCCATATATCTATATATACAATATATATGTATATATATATATAGGTCTGTATCAGTATATGTGAAATTTTCAGGATATAGGAATTATCCTCATCCTTGTCTCTCTGGGGTTTTAGCAATGGCGAATGTGCTTGAAATTTTCACAACTCTCAATTCTTCAGTTTCCATACTTTCCCATCGCCGCCGTCCACGACTGGTTTGCGAAGCTGCCCCTCAAATATCTCCTCATCAAGGTATCCACTGATTGCGCTATCTCCTTCATTTTCCTTTTTTTTTTTTTTTCTTTTCCTGCAATTTACTCACTCAAAATCATCAGAAGTTTTGCTTGATTCCCCAGCTATTTCTAATTAGTACTTAGTACGAATTTTTTCCTAAAAATCACATTATCTCGATCAGCAGCATAGAATTGAGGCCTTAAATATAGGCATAACAAAACCCCTGGTGAAATAAGAGAATTGAAGTTTGTTTGATTTCCAATTGTGTTTTAAATATGCACTGTTGGTGCTCAGGTGGTGCCGGGACAACGAGCAGGAATTTCGGGAGGCTAAAAATGCAGAGAATTAAAGATATAGTTAACGAAAGCTACAAGAAAAAGAAACAAGTCAATAATGAACTCGAGGACGATCATCAGAAACACGAAAGCCCTCCATCCCGTGTGCCGTTTGACGATTCGGATTTGTCGGATGAAGAGGAAGTTATCACTGTCAAGAAATATACTTCAAAAGCCCTTCGTAAATCCGGCAGCGGAAGAGATGCTTCTTCAGAATTTTCTGCTGCCTCTAAGAAACGATGGGGCGATGTGGACCCACTTAACAGCTACAGATCTAACAGCTACAGACCGATGGTGGAAAATGACTCGAGTAAAGGGTACAAGTCGAAAGCCACTAGTGATTTTTTCAGCAGAAAGTCGTTTAAGGAGTTGGGGTGCAACGACGACGTTATTGAATCTTTAAGAAGCCTGCAGTATACGCGGCCATCGCATATTCAGGTTATATAAGTGCTATTCGTGTTTTTTTTCAAATCATCGATATCTACATTGAGCTTCTTGTTCGGAATAGCATATAAAGAGTTACTTCAGTTTCTTGAATGATTAATGGTTATAAAAACAAGAATTGCGGTGTTAGAGAACATGATTTTTTTCATTTTTTTAATGGGAATAGTTGGCGTTCAATTATATGCATTTGAATTTGGAGATACTCCATTTTTTTATTGCAGGCGATGGCATTTACTCCGGTACTTGATGAAAAGAGTTGTATAATAGCTGATCAAAGTGGATCTGGTAAAACTTTGGCATATTTGTTACCTATAGTACAGCGTCTTAGACAAGAAGAAACGGAAGGACTTAGCAGACCTGCGTCAGGGCATCCTCGAGTTGTAATACTCGTCCCTACTGCTGAGTTGGCTACTCAGGTCTGCATTTGAATAATCATTTGGCTGGTGACCGATAGTTTTTATTTCTCTTCTCTTCTTTATGTTGTATTGAATTTCCTTACACATCTAAAGATGCATTTTTCAGGTCTTGAATATTTGTCGATCACTATCAAGAGCTGGTGTCCCTTTTCGGTCTATGGTAGCAACTGGTGGTTTTAAGCAGAAAACGCAACTGGAGAGTCTTAAACAGGAAATAGATGTTCTAATCGCTACACCTGGTCGATTCATGTATCTTGTTAAGGAAGGCTTCCTGCACTTAACTGATCTTAAAAGGTTCTTACTTTCTACTACTTCTATTTCACTCACTTTTCAGACAATAAGGCTTAATTTGACGTCTTACTTGTACTTTTATATTTAATTGTTTTTTTCAGTTTGTTAAGATAACTAGATCTGGTTGTAGTGTATTTGACTAGCCAAATTTCGTAAAATTCAGTCTTTCGTGGTGATCGATAACGCGAATGCAAGTATGATAACAAAAATTGCAGTTTGTCGCTGACCTGTTATTAAATGCAATAATTGAAGTTTAATCTGTGCACCAGATGTTCCTATTTTATTAACATAATATTAAACTTGGGTTGATGACTGATTGGGCCTTTTCGAGTTTCAGTGAAGTCGTGAAAATAATTTAGATCGAATTTGAAATTGAGTCAGTTTAATTGGAATTTGGGTTACGGAATGTTGGTAAATGGAAAATTTTCTATTCATTGTGGTTGGAAATGGAAAGGATGTCGTATCTGCATCATGTTTGATATTTTGAAGCATTTCTTAAACGGCACATTTCGTATAGATAACTTGCTACATTACCGTTCAATTCTTATGCTTCAGTGCCATATTGGATGAGGTAGATATACTGTACAACGATGAAGATTTTGAGATTGCACTGCAAAGTTTGCTGAACACGGCACCTGTCACAGCCCAGTATCTATTTGTTACTGCCACGTTACCTGTGGATATATACAACGAACTAGTTGAAGTTTTCCCAGATTGTAAGGTTCTAATGGGTCCTGGTATGCATCGCACAAGCCCCAGACTGGAAGAGGTATTATATCTGTATGCTTATATATTCCTCCGCATATCCTCTAGAATAGCATCAATTGCAATACGTCCGTCTTTACTGCATAGTATCTAGAAAGATAGCTGCTAGGTTGATGATGGTATCCTCTAGAATCTTTAGTTGTGACTTCATTCGTTCGTCAGTCTCAAATATGTGTCGCTGTATTATCACTACTTAAATCAGATTTATTTCGTCTTAATTAAATAGATATTGGCATTTGACAATATAATCTGACTGCCGAAGGTAGTAGAGTTTTACTTGTTTTGGGGGATAAATGAGTATCTCATTAGATTTGGTTTGTAGATCCTTGTAGATTGCAGTGGAGACGAAAATGCGGAAAGATCTCCTGATACAGCTTTTCTCAACAAGAAAAATGCTCTTCTTCGACTTGTTGAAGGAAGTCCAGTGACCAAGACAATCGTCTTCTGTAACAAGGTAGTCAGTCTTTTTATAGGTAGCAACTCTCGTTCGAATGTATTTGTCATTGAGTTCTTATCCTGAAATACTATACGCATTGCAGATTGAAACATGCAGAAAAGTTGAAAATGCATTAAGACGGTTTGACCGACAAGAAACCCGTACAAAAGTTCTACCATTCCATGCTGCTTTGGAACAGCAATCAAGACTTGCAAACATGGAAGAATTCCGGAGCTTTCCTTCAACAAACATATCTTTGTTTTTGGTTTGCACAGATAGGTACGATACTGCTTTCTCTCTTCCTTTTGGACACCCACCAAACCTTTGAACTTTCATTAGCAGATATGAACGATAAAATTCTGCCATAATTTGCAGAGCGTCTCGAGGAATAGACTTTGCAGGTGTGGATCATGTAGTGCTATTTGATTTTCCTCGGGATCCAAGTGAATACGTACGTCGTGTTGGAAGAACGGCCCGAGGTGCTGGAGGTGTGGGGAAAGCTTTTATATTTGCTGTTGGGAAGCAAGTTTCTCTTGCAAGCAGAATTATTGAAAGAAATTTAAAAGGGCACCCGTTGCATGACGTTCCATCTGTTTACGAGGCGATGAGTTAGATGTGCTTTGTTGACGTGGAATATAAACGGTAAGTTCCATTATCTACTCAATTGATTTTTTATCTTCCAGAATGTTCATTGTGTATTGCAAAATGATTGTTCTTTCGATCATCAAGTTTGAAACTCCACCTCCCCTCTCTCTCTCTCTCTCTCTCTCTCTCTCTCTCTCTCTCTCTCTCTCTCTCTCTCTCTCTCACACACACACACACACACTGAGACCACAAACCACACACTAATGTATGATTTACATATTTCAGTACCAAATGATATTGGGTAAATTACTGCTACACCCATGAGGTATGCTAAAATAACTTTTAAGGTCCATGTGGTTTTGGTAATCACAACCATACCCCTGAAACAATTACCGGAGCCAAGATTTTAATTCCTGGGGACCGATATGCACTATATTTGTTTCCCGCGGGACCGTTAATGAAAATTTATACATCTTATAATAAAATAATAAGGATTTAAGAAATGGTAGGAGAGCCATGCCACTCCCCTTGCTCTATGTCGTCTCCCCGTCTGAATCTAATAATCCGTTAGAACTCTAACGGAATAACTTATCTAATGCATATTCGGTTAGGGTTTCTAACAATGTTTCAGAAGTGATTGTAATTACCGATACTACAGGGACCTTAAAGTTATTTTAACATACTACAGGGGTGTAGTTGTAATTTACCCAATGATATTTAATACCTGTACAACGATATTAGATATACCTGCACAATGATATGCAATAAGGTCTGGCTACTCTTGGATGACTGGATTACTACTATCACTTGTTAATGCGTATTTGTGATTATGTTAGTCACTTTTCTTGCTGGATTCTGATTTTGCTGTGTAGAACTAAAACTATTTCACGTTCTTTATAGTTGCAGCTGTCTAACTATGGCCAAGAAGAAATCCAATCGATACCCGGAGGGCAACTTCGGAAAGGGAATTTGAAACTTGGACATGTTCTATCATGAAGTTTTAGCTTCATGCATAACCAATGGAACATGTTTTCGAGTCCAAACTCACAAAAGGAGTGCTAGGAAAGCTTTTTGTTGGTTAAGAGTAGTTTGGTTTCCAACCTTTGAAGAATCATATCGTCGGTGTCGGGCCAGAAAATATCATTTTTTTCTGGCGTGGGGTTCTATTAATTCGTGCTCGTATATAGTAGCTTCTTTCTGCTTTTTTCAGGGTAAGGATTAATTGTATGCTATCTATTAGATCAAGACAGAATTGTTATTTCAATTGCACTTTGGGTATTTTTGAAAGATACTAATTCCTTTTTTGTGTTGTTTTAGACTGAGGGATTTGGATTTAGGAAAATGAAATGATTCAATATGATGTGAATTTATCTAATAATAAAAATAATAGAAGATAAAAGTTAAAAAGTATTTATCTGCAATTCATCCTAATAAAAACCTCTCTTAAACATCTGTGATTCAGCCATTTCCTTCCAAAAGTTTTTTCGAAAAATCTGTACATTATATTCTCCACTAGTACGATCGTCTATGCCTCCAACAAAACCTCGAAATTTTGTTAGCTCGAAGATCCGATTTCTTTGCCAGCAACACTGAAGGATTTGAGGTTTTCAATTTGTCGAGTGTTGGAATTTTCAAGAACACAGAGCCGTTTTAATTCTCATTGACAATAGCATGCAGCACGACCGACAGTTATTACAAGGTTCTTAAAAAGATAGGAGAAACGTCAGCGAAAATAAAAGACAACAATCGATGAACAACTCCAGAGATGGTGGTTTTAAGTTCTAGTTGTCTCAAAAACTTACGATTCTGAAATAATTGAAGAATTGACATATCAACTCCATAGGTTCTTGTTTTTTTTTTTTTTCCGGGAGTTCGGAGATGACGAATGTATAGATAATATGCCGGTCATATTTCTGGTATTTAAAATGTCTGAACTAACAAAATAAATGGTTAAAAGACGAGTCTAAGGTTCCTTACATATGATCTTCTTTTGCTTGGGATGGCAGCCGATCTTCATCGTATGCGAATGCCGTTGAACTGATGCGAACATCTTCGAGGTAAAAAGACTCCAATTGGTTGTTCAAAAAAGTAAAAACCAAACGACAATTCTTCATAACCATAATTTAAGCACAACAGACTCATCAACTCTCGACAAGATTTCGAAACTTGACTCGCTTCTTAACACTCCGTACCCTATCATACCCTATAGCAATCTTACTATGCATCAACTTCATCGCCAGGTCAGCATTCCCCGCCTTCCTCAACGCATTTATCATAACAGTACGAACTCTCCCCGGGATTTCTCTCCCCCTATCAATAACCCCATCAGCCAACTTGCACGCCTCCGTTATTCGACCAGCCTTGCACAACACATTCAGCATATCCTCAAACGCCGTCTCCAACACGAAACCCATAGGCGCCAGCTCATCCAAAATCTTACAAGCTCGTCCAACTTTGCCCGAAAGACAAAGTCCCGTCGAAAGCGCCCGAAAACAAGCAGCTGTCGGAGTGATCCCCTTATCTATCATCACATCCCACATTTTCAACGCCTCCTCGTTACGGCGTTCTTTAAATAACCCGTTAATTAATATCGTGAATGTGTACACGGTTTGATCGCAATCTTCATCTTCCATTTGCTTGAAAAGCGCCAACGCTTCGTCGATTTTCCCGGTCTTGGCAAACGCATCGATAAGCGCGTTATAGCAATACGAATCACGAGTGCATCCGTTCTTAACCATATCTTCAAAGAGTTCTTCGGCCTCTTCCAATCTCTTCGCCTTTCCAAGGCCATCGATTAGGCTCGAATATATGACAGCGTTGATAGCAACGTTATTCAGTTTACAGTAATCGAACCACTGCATCGCCTCCTCCAATCTTCCGTTCTTACAAAGACTATTCACCACTACACCGTACGTAACCTCGTCCGGCTCAAACCTTTCGTTTCGCATTCTTTCAAACAGCCTCATCGCCATATCCAAATCGCCACTCTTCGCATACGCATCAATAAGTGCAGTGTAAATAGCCACATTCGGCACGCACCCCTTTGCGACCATATCCTCGAGAACCGTGTATCCTTCCGTCGACTTTCCCTCCTTGCAAAGTCCGCCGATCACTAAACTATACGCGTGCGGAGGAATCTCGACTCCTTTATCCCGCATCTCGTTATACAACCTCAAGCAAAAATGATAATCCTCGTCGGAATAAGAAGCCTGCATCAAAGTCAAGAAGGTAATTTTATCGGGCTCCAAATTCTTGACCTCCATATCGTGAAATTTTACGACGGCTCTCTTTAGATTCCCGGACTTGCAGTATCCTTTAATCATGGTGTTATACGTGACGACGTCCGGCTTCACTTTCCCGTTTTCCATAACCTCGAAAACACGCTCGGCCGACTCGATGAAATTAGAAGAAACGAGACCGTTCATGAGGAAATTGTAAGTGTACAAACTCGGGTCGACGCCGTTTTCGTTCATTCTTCGCCAAACCCACAACAACTCCTCAACCATACCGCCATTTCCGAAGCTCCGAATAAGAGAATTAGCTGCGTACGCATTCATTAGAAACCCTTTACTCTGCAACTCATTGAAAACAAACTTAATTCTATCGAATTGACAATCCGAACACAGAATCTCAATCAAGAAAACATAGCATTCGAGATTGTGGGAGTACCCTTTTTGATTGGAGGCCCAATTGAAGAAACGGAAGGCGGATTCGGGGCAGTTGGGGAGATGGTCGGATTTCTTGAGAATGTAGGCGACGAAAGTGGGAGGGAGTTTGATTAAGTACTTTTTGCAGAAGAGGGTGAGGTCTTGTTCGAGGGTGGTGGTGGTGGTCTGTAGAAAATGGAGGATTTTGGGAACCCATGGGGAAGGTTTGAGGTCTGGTTTGGGATCAGAAGAAATGAGGTCGGAAAGATCGTTCAAGGGTTGAACCCATTCTGGAGGAGGGAGAGGTGGTGTGAAGGAAGAAGAAGAAGAAGAATATTCCCTTTTGAGGAATGTGGGTATGGCGGAGGAGAGGGGTTTTAAGAGGGGTTTTCTCATCTCTGCTCTCAGGGAGTTTTTTTGGAGCTTAGCGGTTGAACCAACAATGGATTGGTGTGTACTGTGTACTTGCTTAACACCTGAATGGGAAGGAAAAATTAATATATGCGAGTTTAAATAAACAAATGAGATTTTGAATAACAGATGGTCCCATGGTCTAGTGGTCAGGACATTGGACTCTGAATCCAGTAACCCGAGTTCAAGTCTCGGTGGGACCTTTCTTTTTCATTTTGCTATATTTTCTGTACATTAACACATTATTAAAGTGCGCACTGTGAAGTACTCTGACCTTAGAGGAGGATGTACAATGGATCAGCCAAAAAACCCTCTTCAAATACTGGATCAACCTGTTACATACTCATTTTCATTTCCTTTTATCTCTTCTTTAAAAATGGGCCTCATATTTATCACTCTCCAAACATCCAAATATTAAACTATAATAAAATAATTACTATTGATATAAAAAAATACAAATTAAATTTTCAAGATTTTATGTTTAATAATAAAATTAATATAATTAACTTGACTTTGAAATTATGCTAATTTACGTTAAAAAATTTACTATTTAATCATGTTGTGATTTACGTTAGTTTATTATTTATTTTTTTCTGTAATATATAAAAAATAATTAATAACATGAAAATTTAAAGTCTTGACATAAACATTGACATAAATATTAATAACACAAAGATTACAGAAGAGTTGAATAACATTGTTAGAATATCTCTTCAACTAATAGAAGACATCAATAAAAATTACGAGAAAGCTAGTAAACTAATTTTTAGATCCCGTAAATTAATTTCTCTTTGTTGTTCCATGATCCAAGCTTGTTGTTCAATAATCCAAATTTTACCTTCATTTAGGAGTTGAATTGGGATCCATTACCATTATTTCTTTCTCAAACCGTTTTTGTTCTTATTCTTTCATTACTGCAATTCTCATTCGCTCGGTTTCTTTTTGAGCTTGTAGCTGTAAATTCTGTGCTTCCATTTTCGCTTGTAACTTTTGTTGTTCTTTTGCATGTTTTATATTCCCTTCTTCTTGAAACCGACTTGATGCTTCTTTTCTCATATTAGAAAACTCTTCTGCATATAAGTCCATGGAATTAAAAAAAATCTTTTTTTTTTTTAGCATTTTTCGCACATTTGTTACCAGGAGGACGTGCTAAACCAGTTGAAGTATTATTAGATACTCCATCTTCATCGTCAAGACTAATTGAGGTTGGAGTCCCCCTAGGTGTGGATTGCTCACTTGACGGAGTCTCGGCATTGGAGGAATCTCCAATGTCATCTTCATTCAAATTAATTTATGCCCTTTTTTTTTCTAGACATTCTTTTCTTCTTCTCTTGTACAAAATTGACATGATTGTCACATTTTAGTGTGTTTTTTAGAATAAGTCAACAAATCTCCTACTTAAAAAATGGTTCTCTTTCTTGTAATATAATTGTTTTGTTATATATATATATATATATATATATATATATATATATATATATATATATATATATATATATATATATATATATATATATATATATATATATATATATAAAGCTATTGTAGCATAATTTTATATTTACTTATATTATTTTTTGCACTTTATCCACTTATTGGAGCCCGTTCAATCACATTGACAAATCCAGAAAATTTATTGATGCTTAATTGAATGGTAGACCACCGATTCATTAGCCCATCTGGGGGTCTATCATGATCGTCTTGTACAATTTTGATAAATTCCGCGCCAATTCGGTTCCATAACTTGCCTCTTCGTTGATTCGCACCAACTGCTGGATCTTCTGAAATATGTAACCAGGCTTTGCATAAAACGTCATCTTCTTTCACACTCCAGTTTGGTTGTCTATCTTTTTGCGCACGTCCTCCAGAACTCTTCTTACATGATATATTTGGAGTATGCATTTGCTTTTACGTTGGAATTTGAGATGAACCTGCAAAAATGAAAGGATTGTATGCAAACAGAGAAAATAGTTGAAATTGCGAACTCATTGATTGAGGAATAAATGTTTGAGAATCATTTTGTAGTGGTGGCTGAGAATTGTATTGTGGATTCATATTAGGATTGAAATTATTGTACGAATCCATAATATCACCGTAAAATAAAGATATTAGGATTGAAATTATTGTACGAATCCATAATATCACCGTAAAATAAAGGTGAATTGGTGAGTTATAACATCAATATATGACTATTATTTATACTGGAGCAAATTTAATTGCTTGTCCCCTTGTCATTTGGAAAAACTATATTTGCACTTCCCAAAAAACAATATCATAATATATTTAATTGCTTCTTGGCATGTCTTTCCCTCCTATAGATTTTTCATGACACGCTTCCCGAAATGTAGTATTATAATATTTTTCTTAAAAAAAAAAATTAATTTTAACTTTTGACATATCTATTTATGGCATTTCTTTTCAAATATAATAGCTTCTTAACATTTTGCTAAAAAAAAGATTTAATTGTTTGATAACACTTCTTGTCTTCTGAAGATATTAATCCTGCACTTTTCTCAAAAAATATATCATAACATTTTTTGTAAATTTTGTCAACCGGTTAGATTATCCATGGCACGTTCACGAAAAAAATATCAAAACATTTTTGTAAAAGATTTTTTTTTAATTGTTTAATGACATATCTTGTCATCCGAAGAGAATATTCATGCCATTTTCTCAAAAAAATCAATATCGTAATTATTTAGCTAAAAGAAAAGGGAAATATGCGAATAGATTATTCATGACACTTTTTCCTAAAATACAGCAGCTTAACATTTTGCTAAAAGAAAAAGGAAATGATTGCTTGATGGTATATCTTATTTTCTGAAAAAACTATTCACGACACTTTCGTATCCTATGTAACAATATTTCTGGACGACGTGAGAGAGAGAAATGAGAAAAAAAGAGAGAAACATGATTTATATTAGTTACTGTAAGGGTATTTTTGGGTTAAATAAAAATCAAAGGATGTGTATCAATTTTAATTTTAAAGTAAGGATGCAGTTAAAATATTCTATTTGAGATTGTCACTCATAGTCATATCTAATTAAGTTTGGTTTAAGGGGTGTGAAACATATTACCCCAAGAGAGAGAGAGAGAGAGAGAGAGAGAGAGAGAGAGAGAGAGGAGTTATTAATGAGGAGAGATAAATGAGAGGTGAGAGAGAATGTGAATTTTAATGAGCAGAAATGAATTTAAGGAGAGAGAATGTGAATATTAATGAGGAGAGAGAAATTAGAGGAGACATAGTGTATATTAAGGGTTACATATGAATACAATAAGAGAGAATTGAGTTGAATGAATAAAATATATATGTTAGTAAATATTAGTAGGTTTGAAAGTTTGAAAAAATATCAATAGTGCATTTTCATTGGAAATTTTGATAGAAAAAAAATGTGTATTTTCAAGTAAAACTCCTCAAACAAACATAATCTCAGTTTTATGAATGGTATAGAAGTTGGAAATGGTTCTAATATCATAAGCGAACATGCCCTAAGTATTTGTACAATACATCACTACAATGCCATTTTGCACTCTAATCGGTTCGATCCGGCAAGTGGTCCGCTATTTATCTCTATTCACCGTACACAAACCAGTTTTTTCACTTTTTTCAGAAAATATTACCGTTCCGGCGGTTTTTAAGTCGGGACAGTACATATTGGCTCGTTTCGGTGTTTTTGCTCACCCCTAGTAAAACATGATATGTAAGACATAGACTCATTTTACATACTCTATTAAGGATGCCCTTAGTAAAACAATAAAGAAGAAAAGTTATGTTACGCAAATCCCACACAAGATCGAACACACAGCCCTTCTGGCCAAGTCATAATAAGCATAAATAACCATCCTTTTAGCTAGATCAAAAACATGTCCAATTAAATACACAAGAAAGATTATAAGAATAATTAAACCTTATTTACATGTATTATATCTATATCTATATATGTATATAAACCTGTCTCATCTTTAACTTTTTCCCAAATAAACTCAAATTTTGAGCTGGCTGTTATTTTTTTGACTTATCACTCAAATAAGGAGTAGGATGGCATCTTTACTTGCAAGCACTTACTCCTCCTGCAAACGAACCGTAACAGCAGCATAAAGTACAATATCCAAAAGGGTGTTTGATTATACAACGAGAACGAGAACGAAAAGCGAAAAAGGACAATAAGCAAACTAAGTTGGTTTTAGCCTAGTCGAATTTGCGTCTTTCCTGTCCGTGTTAAGGTCCGGGTTTCAAATTTCTTGGAGATGGTTTATTACGATGGCAAAATTATAAAATCAATTTAAATATGACAAAAACAATACACACATATTCATTCATATACGTAAGTTAAGAAAAATTAAAAGTAACGTACCTTTGATAAATTGTTTGATGGAGAACCGGATTCACCTTCGGGTGCCTCAGATATTCGCACTTCTGATTTCTCGTTCGAGTAACTGAAAGAAAAGCGCAAATTAAGGAAATTTATCTCTCCCATGTTCACTATTATTATTATGTGAACTAAGACGGTGTAAACTTGAAATATCAATTCACGGCGTATTTAATTGTCAGCATAAGTGCTCGAATTAAAGAGATAGTAGGAGTTAAAGGTATAAGATATATATACGTTGAGAGTATAGTAACCCATATTAGCTCAATACAATCCACCCATAGAAGTCTTTGCTCGACTGGTACCACTCCGTACGTGATTACATGAGCAAATGGCCAAAGCTTCCAACCAGCCTATTTTATATTTAACCAAAAAGAAAATAAGGATTAGTCAATCAAGATTCCGTTCAATCAATTCTTGAATAGGTCAAATTATTATTAAAGAAACATGAAAAAGCCGACTCTTTATCAACAATTTCCCATTACGCAGAAAATGCTATTGATCGATCATACACTATGGAACCATGTCTACACATAGACATCACAAATAGAGTAATTAATCATAAACAAGAGAATCTTTAAAATTTAGAAAAATGAAGTATAATGAAATTATTCCACATACAAGTTCATAAACGAAAGTATCATAATAGTTACGTTGTTGCCTTTCCTTGTAATTAGAAGATGATGGAATGACGGGACCTTATATTATATTGCAATTGGTAACGCAAATTTGGCTTTATGAATCAACTTTGCATTTTTACTAAATCTAAAAAGAAAAAAAAAAGAAAAAAAGAGGGATAAGAAACAAGTTTTGGAAGAGGTTCTTACAGTCAACATAGGCCAAAACGTTGCTCTCAATTCATTAAAAATAACGACGGGTGATTCCAATCGCAAGAGAGCTAGAACCACAAAGTAGATGCTGTTCCAAACTGCCGACCATACAGTTTGGTCAAACGCAACTTTAACCGGGACCACCCACCATCCTTTGTAAGGAAATAGAACCTGTCAAACCAACCGAATAAATATCAACAAATTTTCAAAGCTATATATATTGGGATATAATTCAATAATATCGAGCCACGAATATCACCTCACAAAATTGGTAATAATAATGAGAAAGTGATCCGTGTAGTGTGAATCCAACAAGGCCGGACCTAAACATACGCGTTCGATCAATATCGAAGAGGGGCTTCCCTTCGTAACACTGCCAAATTCGTACGCAAATGTGAGGTTGTTGATGATTAAAAAAATGTGGTATAAATTAATTATAACAAAATCGTGAGCGAGAAATGCGTATTACTTGGGCAATCCAATCACCCATGGAGTAGACAATGCCACTGATTGCCATTTTCGACAAAACGGGATGTGTTTTAAGAGTTTCTTCATAAGCATTCCAGCTGTGCTCTGGTGCATACCTCAACACCTCATACAGTGTCCATCCCTACAATTTTCAATTCAAATAAAAATTAAAAAAAAAAAAAAAAGAAAAAAAAAAAATTTCCAGTGATATATACTAATTTTCACAAAAAAATCAACATAGTTCAATATTTTTCATGCTTAACTGTGTAATAAAAAAACTTCAAAGACAAATCAAAACAGAAATGATTTGGTAACAAAATTCCAAAATTGAGCACAGGTAAACTATAACGCAGCCAGAAATTGTAACTTTGAATTCTAGAACGAGAGAGAGAGAGAGAGAGAGAGAGAGAGAGAGAGAGAGAGAGAGAGAGAGAGAGAGAGAGAGAGAGAGAGAGAGAGAGAGAGAGAGAGAGAGAGAGAGAGAGAGAGAGAGAGAGAGAGAGAGAGAGAGAGAGAGAGAGTTGCATCATACATGCCAGTAGTCATGATCAATGGTGAGCAATTTGGTGATAGCAAGAGAACCAGCGCCGAGAACAATAGCGGCATTGATTAATCTATCAGAAGAAGGAATAATACCAACTATCACACCATTATTATTGATGCCCTCATCCTCCTCCTTCACCTTTTCTTCATCTTGGGTTTTCGTAACTTCTCTTTCATCTGTGACAGCTTTGGTGGGCGAAAATTGTCCGATTTTTGTGGCGAGATTAGGGTTATTTAAGAACGGTTTTGAAAGGTTGGAGAGGTGATAAGATGGAGAATTTGAGAGGCTGTAAGAAGAATATCTTTTCGTTTGTATCAACAGTGAAGAAGAAGATGGAGCGAAGAAACTGTTGATTGTAGTCATCTGTAATTTCGCTTGTCTTAAGAGAGGGAGATTATATTTATATTATATATAAATGTTTATTTATTTAATTTATATCCAGTTTTTGTTACAAAACCAAAATATTCACGTGTACACAAGTACATCTATGATAAACAGGTGGTTCACAACAATTTTCTAGAGCTTTCCTTTTTCAACGCGGCTGCTAAATGCAATCCTACAAATTACTTAATAAAATTAAATTTAAGTTTTTGGCTCATCCCCATTTCTTTAATCTAAAATACCCTCCATAATATAATTCTTATAAATTCCATCCATTATACTCTAACTTCTTTAATATTACATATTGACCCCGGATTTAAACAAATATATCACATTAACCCCCAATTTTTTTTTCAGAAAATAAATTTTTTTCTGAAATATTTTTTTTCCGGCCATATTCCGGCGTCGACCGCCGGTCTCCGGCATTGAATTTTTTTTTTCTTAGAAAAAAAAATATTTAAATTAACATTACTGTCTTGGCTACTAAATTACTGTCTCAGACAGTAATATTACTGTTTGTGACACTAATATTATGAATATTATTTTCTCGAACAGTAATATTATTAATATTATTGTCTAAGACAGTTAAATTACTGTTGGAGACAGTAATTTAGCAGCCAATGCAGTAATATTAATTAAAATAATTTTTTTTAAGAAAAAAAAAAAAAAAAAGTCAATTAACAGTTAAATTACTGTCTCCGACAGTTAAATAACTGCTGGAGACAGTAATTTAGCAACGAATACAGTAATATTAATTAAAAATATTTTTTTTAAGAATAAAAAAATCGATTAACAGTTAAATTACTGTCTCCGACAGTTAAATAATTGCTGGAGACAGTAATTTAGCAAAAAATACAGTAATATTAATAAAAAATATTTTCTTTAAGAATAAAAAAGTCAATTAACAGTTAAATTACTGTCTCCGACAGTTAAATAACTGCTGGAAACAGTAATTTAGCAACGAATACAGTAATATTAATTAAAAATATTTTTTTTAAGAATAAAAAAAGTCAATTAACAGTTAAATTACTGTCTCCGACAGTTAAATAACTGCCGGAGACAGTAATTTAGCAACGAATACAGTAATATTAATTAAAATATTTTTGAAGAAAAAAAAAAGTCAATTAACAGTTAAATTACTGTCTCCGACAGTTAAATAACTGCCGGAGACAGTAATTTAGCAGCCAAGACAATAATATTAATTAAAACATTTTTTTTAAGAAAAAACAAAATGAAAAAAAAAAAAAAGTCAACGGCAGGAAAAAAATTTCAGGATAAAAAAAAGTTGAGTTGAATTGGGGGTAATTTTGGTATATATAAAAGGATTTTCATTATTTGCAAATAAGTTTGAATGGGCTGGATTTATTTGAAAGACAAAAAAGTTGGATGTCCCTCTTTTAATTAAGTGCCTTGTCATGGGCATATTTGCCATTTACCCTAAGTTTTTATCTATAAAAGACTAAGAGCATGTACAATGAAATAGCTAAAAAACCCTCTCTAAAGAGTGGGGTCCACATGCCACATACTCCTTTTCCTTCACTTTATCAACTCTCTAAAAATGGGTCCCACATTTATCACTCTCCAAATTAAAATTGCTCCAATGGGTATATTTTGTTGCTCTCCAAAATGACTCTCCAAATATTAAACTATAATAAAATATTCACTATTAATATAAAAAAAATACAAATTAAATTTTCAAGATTTTATATTTAATTAATAATATTAATATAATTACTTGACTTTAAAATTAGACTAATTACGTAAACAAAATTATCATTTAATCATGTTGTGATTTACGTTAGTTTTTTTTTATTTTTTTTATTTTTTTTGTAATATATAAAAATTAAAAACTAATTAATAATATGAAAATTTAACAACTAACATAAAATTGACATAAATATTAATAAAACAAAGGATTACAGAAGATTTGAATAACATTGTTGGAATATCTCTCCAACTAATAGAAAACATCAATAAAAATTACGAGAAAGCTAGTAAACTAATTATTAGGCCCCGTAAACGCTGACTTATCTCAGCGCGTCTTGGTCGAATTCGCAATAGGGGAACTAATGAAGTCTTGCGATCCGATCTTACGAATCATTTGTGGAATATCTTTGGAGACGAGGAGGGTTAAATAATATTATTTTTCTATGTTGTCTTATTTTTATATCTGAGTTGTAATTTCTTTATTTTTGTAATTGTGTATCGTAGTTTATATTGTAATATGTATTATTAATGTTCAATTTAAAGTTACTTTCATTTTATTATTATTCATAAATATTTGTTGAAATACTCAATTATTCATAAATAGGTCCCGCATTAATCACTCTCCAAATTAAAATTGCTTCATTGGATATATTTTGTTGCTCTCCAAATATTAAACTATAATAAAATATTCATTATTAATATAAAAATATACAACTTAAATTTTCAATTTTCTTATAAACTTGATTTTGAAGTTGAAATACCTAATTAAATATAGGCATTATAAATTAATGAAATAATTATTTTCTTGGAATGATAAAATTATTAATGTGTAGTAATAAAAAAAATTCAATTTGTTATAAAGTAAAATAACCTTAATAAGGAATAGTCATCTATTATAAATAAAATTTATTTGTTAAATACAATTCAAAGTATTTAAAACTAATTTTGATTATAATAATAAATACATAGAACTCTAAAAAATAAAATAAAAATGATTTATTTAAAAGCCATAAAAGAAACTTCATAATATTTATTAATGAATTGAATATAAAAAATTAGCTAATAGAAGATAATAAAATACAGAATAAAAGATTATAAAATGATTGTGGGTCCACATTTTTTGGTTAAAGTCCTCCATAACTGTGGCTAGCAAGTTAAAGGATGGCCAAATTTGGTGAGTGCTATTGAGTACTATTTGGTTCCACTGCATCATTTTTGCTCTCCAAAATTTGGAGAGTTGGAAAAATCTTACACTATATCACATTTAAGGAGGCCATTGTACATGCTCTAAAGACTAGTATACTTTTATTAGAATAAAAAACACACAATTACAAATTCCTTCAATTTCTTTTGTGCAAGACCGCACCAACAAAACTCTTTCTTTTGTTCGCATAACCATTTCACATTCTTCTCCAAAAAAAAAGTCTTCCATCTTCTCCGAGAAAAACATCTTCTTCTTCAAAAATCCTCTATGCCCAAAACTCCCAAATCCTACCAAAACTTGTAAAAGAGGACATTATGGATTCAAAAGGCATCATGGATTCTATATATATATATATATATATATATATATATATATATATATATATATATATATATATATATATATATATATATATATATATATATATATATATATATATATATATATATATATATATATATATATATATATATATATATATATATATATATATATATAT